CTAAGGCATATTTTGTAGAAAATGAAACGTCATTCTCTTTGGATTTTATCGATTGTTATGCTGATTTTTTTCATTGTCAAGTATGCAACGGCGTGTGCCAATAGTGGTACGCAAGCAACATGTGGAAAAAAATGGGTGAAAAGTTTATGAGGGGCGCCTTCACCTTCCTTTGTTGGATTTATATAAATTTAATACCAAAAGGTGCAGACTGTTAAGTTACACAAAATAACCAAATCAGAAGAAAATTGGTATAAGTTTTTAAAAATTAATATTAATTTTATCCTCCCCTCATCCCCCATTTTCCCCTCCATGATCCCCTTTACCTACACTGTGTTTTACATTTTATTTCTTATTTTTACATACAGATAACTCCATAAATCCCGAATTACAAAAATAGGAGATTACTAACCTACCCGATCTTATCCTATATCATGTTCCTTGTATTAAAAAAGTATTTTTCTTATCATTATTATCAACATCATTATTATTACTACTATTTTCAATGAATGAAGGAAACTGGTGGTTAGGTAGGCTTATTAATTTCCTTTTTGGTGACTCAGGATTTCAGGAAAAGCAGTGTACTTTGCAAACAAGAATTCATGTGCTGCATTAACAGGTTAATCACAAAAACAACAATAGCACTGTCTTGATCCTGATTTGCACACTGTTAACCCTTCATGATCTAAACACGAGTCTCTGAGAACTACAAGCAAAATCAGAACTGTTATCTTTTGTGTCATCTTTAAAGTTTGCTATTATGTACTCTATTCACTCAATAAGTCATAAGGTTTTGGACAGAATGTGCTAAACAAAATACTAGATGAAATACTTGCACTAAATATAATTAATGATGAGAGAAATCGTAAAAAGTAATACTAGTCAACTTCAAGAAGAAAAAAAACAAACAAACAAATATTTTCAGGTTATTGTAAACAAATATTTAGATGAGAGAATTTCAACAGGAGGTCTATCCTGACCCTTACTTCTGTGACATATGGAGGTACATTCACCACGAAGAGAGTTCTTTCTGCCGGCTTGTCCAAATCGTAGGTTTTAACAACATGCTGTTTCCACAGGAGTTGATGTTTGGCTTTACTCTCTTTACTGAAGCCAAGTTCAACAACTGTAAATAAAACAAAGAAATTATCAAAGACAACTTCTGAATTTTGCCAATAATACCACAATAATGTACTGCAGTTCGTACGTGCCATCAAATAATCCTTCAATCCCTTTTCTTACTACAGACTAATGTATCAAGCATTTTCTAAAGGACAAATAATAGTATTTTTTCTTGTGTTTGTACTAAAAATAACGTAAGCAAAAATGTTTACATATAAAACATCATGTCAGAAAAAAAGATTTTTTGTTGTTGTTGTTTTTATACTTTGTCCTTTCATGACAGAAAGAAAGAAACCCCATCAAAGGAACTTACCAATTTGACAACCATGGGTAATCTTGAAATTTCATGTATTTTCTCTCACCAATGTTTAAACACCCACACAAAACACACACCACACATACACAAAAAGAGGAGAGAGAGAGAAGAGAAAAGAAAGAAAGAAAAACAGAGGGGCAGGGAGGGGAGAAAGAGAGAGAGGCAGGGAGGGGAGAAAGAGAGAGAGGCAGGGAGGGGAGAAAGAGAGAGAGGCAGGGAGGGAGAAAGAGAGAGAGGCAGGGAGGGAGAGAAAGAGAGAGCAAGGGAGGAGGAGAAAAGGGGAGAAAGAGAAGAGAGAGGCAGGGAGGGGAAAAGAGAGTGAGGCAGGAGGAAAAGAGAGAGAGGCAGGGAGGGGAGAAAGAAGAGAGAGGCAGGGAGGGAGAAAGAGAGAGAGAGGCAGGAGGGAGAGAAAGAGAGGAGGCAGGGAGGGGGAGGAGAGAGGGAGGGAGGGAGGGGGAAGAGGGAGGGGGAGAGGAGAGAGAGAGAGAGAGGAGAGAGAGAGAGAGAGAGAGAGAGACGAGAGAGAGAGAGAGAGAGAGGGAGAGAGAGAGAGAGAGAGAGGAGAGAGAGAGAGGAAGAGAGAGAGGGGAGAGGGAGAGGGAGAGGAGAGGGAGGGAGAGGGGAGAGGGAGAGAGGGAGAGGGAGAGAGAGGGAGAGAGAGAGGGAGGCGGAGAGGAGGGAGAGAGAGAGAGAGGAGAGAGAGAGAGAGAAGAGGAGAGAGAGAGGGGAGGAGAGAGAGAGAGAGAGGGAGGGGGGGAGAGAGAGGGGAGGGGGGGGAGAGAGAGAGAGAGAGAGAGAGAGAGAGAGAGAGAGAGAGAGAGAGAGAGAGAGAGAGAGAGAGAGAGGAGAGAGAGAGAGAGAGAGAGAGAGAGAGAAGAGAGAGGGAGGGAGGGAGGAGGGGAGGGAGGGAGGGAGGGAGGGAGGGAGGGAGGGAGGGAGGGAGAGAGAGAGAGAGAGAGGAGAGAGAGGGAGGGAGAGAGAGGGAGGAAAGGGGGAGAGGGAAAGGGGGAGAGGGAAAGGGGGAGGGAAAGGGGAGAGGGAAAGAGGGAGAGGGAAAGGGGGAGAGGGAAAGGGGGAGAGGAAAGGGGGAGAGGGAGAGGGAAAGGGGGAGGGAAAGGGGAGGGAAAGGGGGAGGGGAGAGTATGAGAAGTGAGAGTGAGAGTGAGAGTGAGAGTGAAGAGTGAGAGTGAGAGTGAGAGGAGAGAGAGAGAGGAGAGAGGAGAGGAGAGAGAGAGAGAGAGAGAGAGAGAGAGAGAGAGAGAGAGAGAGAGAGATACCAATACCAAGTCTGTCAGATACTCTCCTCCTGCAAATGCATGGAGGATTCTTTTGTTTCCCTGGGTGGGGGTGGGGGTGGGGGTGGGAGGGCAGTCCCCCAGGAGGGGACAATATAGTGACTTCATTGATACCATGATTATAGCAAAGATTGAGTTCCACACTGCATACAAATGATATCAAGAGTGGCGTGATTCTGTTATGGAAGAGACATTCTAGCCATTTCCGATGGAAACAAACTCCAGAATCAACCAAACCTAAACATTAGCAATCGAACGCATCTAGTTTCACCCCCAGAAGCGTTAGTAACGTTTTTTTCAAAATTTACTAATTGCTTAATGTTGCATTTTATATGGGTTGCTACGAAGTGCTAATAAATGGGCACTTGACCCTGTCTAGGAAATATATAGAAGGTAGGAAAGGTTAGGTTGGGTGTTTGGGGCCACATGATACCCTCAATTTGGACTTTTGTCTCAACAGAGTTCGTGCTCTCGGTAACATAGACCAACATTATAAATGACAAGCTAATAATCAATAACTAAATAAAGGCCGTGTCACACTAGCACTTTTTCCGTCAATTTTTGGACAATTTTATTCAACATAAATACAAACATTCTCGAATATAGCTCTCGATCTGACTACGCTTGGCTGACAAAGCTGACGTTACGGTTTTCAGACGGAAACGATCATTATCATCTGACTGGAGAATCGACAATTCGCTCAAAAATGGACAAAATTTCAGAAAATTATAAAAAAATTGACGGAAAAAGTGCTAGTGTGACGGCACCTTTAGATATATCCATATTTGATACACTCAAAATCCACGAATCTAGGACAGTGTGCAGAAATAAGCAAATAATCTCAGATCTCAGCAGTCTGTGCTCGTGAGCTTGTAAAGAAAGAAATGTTATTCGCATAAAACAATGAATCAAAATTGTAAACATTTGATAAGAAAAACAAACAAACCTATCGCTAAAACCCTTATGAACTTAAAACATTTCTATTACATATAAAGAGAAATCATCCAGTGAAAAATGTCGATTAAGTAGTATCAATGGCAATAACTCTATGGACGATAAAGGTTCTTAATACGATGAAATTACCTCTAAATCCCTTCACATCATCCAATGCTTGCTTCTTGGGGGCCGCCATGATGATGCACTACGGGAGCAAATCTAATTAGTATTTTCTTTCATTTTATGTGATAATAAAAACGAAAGAAATTTTAAAATGAGGCTGATTTTCATATTTTCTAACTGAGGTATTAAAAAGCAATATATCTAATGAAAAAAATGGGCAAGAAGACTCTTTTATTACATTACTTAATTTTGGTTTTCAGTGATTAAAAATCGAATCACATTAAAACTGCTGTATGAAATATCAATCCACACCTAATACAACACAATTTGCAAAATGAAATGTAAATATTTTTGGCATCGTTTCCCTAGAGTGCCAAGTTAGCCAAAACAATCTTTAGAAAGGAGAGCTACCACAGCTTTAATAATACCTAGCTGGCAACTATTCACTCACCAAAGAAAAGAAAAACTAAACGCTAGATGGCTCTTTACTCAAGGTTTCATCATTCTACAATAACCATGTATTTCCTTTAAAAATGAGACACCGACAAACTATTTAAAGAATTTGCTATCTCTGGAATAAGAAACGAAAAAAGATAGAAAAATAAAATAAAATATATAAAACAAATTACTCTCGATTCCCCAACAGCACAAATAAACCGAACTATCGTACATCAGGCAAGAGAAAAAAACATCACAAGAATCATATAATAAATAATCCTCACTTACCCTTCCGTATTGGCACAACACCTGATGAGAAAAGCGGACACTTCTAACAAAAATTTTCCTCGACATAACGTCAAGTTAAAGTGTAGTTTAGACCCGAAATCTCCTTCAAGATGTTAAATTGGTTGATGAGAAGTGGAGGAATCGCCTTTTTGATATATATGGCTGTCATTTCTCGGCCTGGATCGTCTTTATTCTCATTTCATCCTTTTCTAATGACAGCAGCTGTAAGTTCTTTAATTTTTCATGTAATTAACACTTTATTTATTAATATTTGATCTGTTGATGACATATAAACTCAGATTCACACAGTATTTTGATTGTATATACCTATTTTTTTAAACATTGGCAATATATAAGTTAATTTTGAAGTGAAATTCTGGAATAAAATGATGATGTGTCATGATGATGTTAGCTTTTATGTGCGACAAGAAATTTTGTTTAAACATTTTATTTCTTTCCATACTAGTGTTCTTCACATTTATTTC